GGCTCTTTTTTGTAAAACAAACAAGATGTTGGCATGGCTACAATTAGCCCAGAGAATGGCACTATATACTAAATGACAATGAACATAACTAAAATACACAGTTAACAATACATCTGGAGAAACAATTGATTTTAAATTTCTTAAAATAAAATTCCTTTGGAGAGTTTTGGAGCGATAAAATCAATATGGGAAAACCATTTTAGGTTGCTCTGTATCATCACACCTAAGAATTTGACTGGAGTTTGAGAATTCTTAGAGTTACCATAGGTCATTTCCAGATTTTGAGTTTTGTTTACGTTAAGAGACAGCTTATTGGCCTTACACCAGTCGAACATTGTTTTAACAGACTCAGAAATTACACTGTCCTGCATACACTTAGTAGACTTGATATTCAAACACACGTCGTCTGCATACATAAAACATGAAACATCATTACTTTGGACATTAAAAGGTAAGTCATTAACATAAATAATGAAGAGTAGGGGGCCTAAAATGGACCCTTGTGGCACTCCGTGGGGAGTGTGTTTAAGCTCTGACAGTGAATCCTGGAAATAAACAGCCTGGAATCTGTTGCTCAGATATGACTCAATCAAAGACACGGCATTATCACAAAAACCAAATGACTTTAGTTTGCCTAACAAAACACTGTGAGACACAGTGTCGAAGGCCCTTGAGAGATCAAAAAATTTTGAGCAAACACCTTGTTTTCTTTCCATGGCTTCTAGAGTGTCCTGAATGTAATTTAAGACCGCCTCCGTAGTGGATCGGTGCTTGCGGAAACCAAATTGCGCACACGAAAGCAAACCGTTTGAATCCAGAAAGTTAACTATTTGCCATGAAAGCACTCTCTCAATGACCTTCGACAGAGTGGGCACCAAGGCCACAGGCCTATAATTGCTAACATCCAATCTATTACCTTTTTTAAATATTGGAACTATCTTAGAAATTTTAAGTTTGTCTGGGAAAGTTTTTCCCGTAATACAGAAGTTAATGATGTGTGCAATGACTTCACATAAATAATCACTACCAAACTTTAGAATCTGAGAACTTAAACCAAAAATATCAAGACTGCTGCTGCTGCTTAAAGACAAAATAGCTTTATGTACACATTCTACTGATACCTCACAAAATTCAAATTTAACATTACACAAAGGAACACTAGACATATACTCATTGGCACTGGTTAAACTAACAGGAATGTTATCAACAATATCATCAATACTACTTACAAAAAAAGAGTTAAAATTTTCTGAGTTTAAAGGTGAATCAACATCTGGTAATATAACAACTGGGCGCTCATTTGTTGTGTCCTTCTTCCCGTTGCAAAGCACGGGTACAACAGCTAGTATTGTACTAAAAGCTAGCTAGAAGCATTGACTATTGGAGATGGTTAGCATCGGCTGCTAGACTTTTTAAAAACTAAAACTTAATTTATAAAAAACTGGGACACTAATTTTAAATTATGGCTTTGAAATTCCCTAGTTCTCAAAATTGTCTTTCTTTCAACACAAAACTAATGAAAATCCATTGACTGGTTGATTCAGAATCGTGAAAAACCCCCATTTACGTTTTAATAATATATATGATAGTGAACCATGCCCTCGCGCCTGCACCCAGACTAACGAAAAGGAAGCGTGATCCATGCGCAGGCCCGAGGAGCGGCTCACAAAACTTTACTTAACAAAATGAGAACCATGGATGGAGGCTCAAGAACAACACGCCATTTGAGAGAAACGAGCTGTAATTAACCATTTAAAAGAATAACACAACAACAATAATTAACAATAATACATGAATTAAATACTCTCAATTAAACTTTAAAAAATTTTGATACCCGTTTACCCTACTAACTTACAATTATTTCATTAATCATTTTCAAATAGGCTAAATTTCAAAAATAAATCTTACTAGCTTTTACCTTTCAAAAAACTTTTAAATTAACAAATTACAACAATGATATATATAATGACTCTTAAAATAAATTCATTTTATCTGGTAACTATAGAAACTTTAGGGGCCCCAAATTAGAATTCAATAGAATATTTAAAAAAAATTATAAAATTTAAAAAAGATCAACAAGTAGCCTAAAGAATTAAAATTTAAAAAGAATAACAATTAATAAACTATGTATAGGCCTATAACAATAATAATTTCAAATAGTCTCTTGGGTTGCTTTTTTTTATAAATAAAATCAAAAAACATAACGACAGTGGGTAACTTGTGGTAGTGCGGTTGGGTTTTGGGCCAGGTCTAGAAGTTCAGCACCGGAGGGGGAACCAAGCAGGGCGGAGAGGGGGCCAAGGTCTACGAGGCAGCCATGAGTTACAAATTTCCTCCGCCAAGGTCGAAACGGTCCAGTGCATAGTCCTCCTCACGGGCCCTGAGTAACAAATCCAGAAACACAGTAGTACCAGGAGAGCTCAAGTCCATATCCGCAAAATTCACTGTCACACACATTTCACTATTTTCATTTAGTTCCAAACATTTCACTGAGCAGGCCTAACATATTTTTTCAGGGAAAAAACTCTAAATTTTTGCAAGGTTTGTCTCTCTATCACAGCTCTTTAACAATATAAAACATTTTAAACAATAACAATAATTTAAACAAACAATTAACAGGTGAAACAGTACAAGATCGGTAACATTAATACTAGGGATGGACGAGATTGGATTTTTAGTTCGAGACGAGACGAGACGAGATTTTTTATTTCTCATAAAATTTCGAGACGAGATCGAGACGGGATTTCCCTTCTCATACACAACGGGAAATGCACGTTCAAAATTTTTACCTGATTTTGTAACATTGTTAAATGACTGTTTAAATACAAAAATAATAATAATAGGTAAGAATATTTACAATCTTTTATTAAAAAAACATCAGCATAACATTTTTTTATTAATCATGCCTTACTTATTAAAAATGCCTACGATTAGGAAACATAGTGATATCAGTTAGGATAGAGTTCAACTTATCCTAAAATAAAATAAATCATAAAATAAAAGCAATATTAATTTTTGTAAAATAGTTACTTGTTTTGACTTTTTATAGTAATAAAACATTCCTCACACTGCTTACACTTAACAAAACTTCTCAAATGTTATTAAAGTAATATTATTAAAATAATTAAAGTAATATTTTCATTTAAAGAATTAATTAAATAAGAACGCCTTCGCAAAGGAAACGCAACTACAACACGCTCCTGTATTGCGGGTATTGCATTGACTTTCTGCAGGCGTTTTTAATTTTTTTATTTAATTTTTTTTTTTTTATTCTTGTCTCGATAAAAATCTCGGCCAAAAAGAAATCTCGTCTCGTGTAACGAGATTTAAAATTTCCCGAAAATTTCCCGAAATTTCGAGACTTGACCATCCCTAATTAATACTTGCGGTAAAGGTGTCAGCAGGCTAGACGGGTATGTGACAGTGATAAATTTCACCAATAGAGAGAAAATATTTAAATTGTCTGGTCCAAAGTGGCCAGAAGAACAAGTTAACAATAAACAATTGACATTTAAACACAGAAAAATACTTTAAAATTGACAAAAAACGTTCCAAACAAAAATTTAGGCCTAACGCAACGACTCATGTATTTTTGCTAATTTCTCCAAAAGTTGTGATCCGAATTTGTTCGGAATGGTCTTAAAAGCTGGGGGAAATGTTCCAGCAGCTTCTCCAGACCATTCCAAACCTTAACTCAAAGGCTGAAACCAGTTGGCCTATTGGTTACCCAGTTCAAACCTGAATGGAGAATTGCCAAACTCTTAATTCCTCATAACTTTCTTAAAACTTGAGTAAAATGACTCAAACTTTCTGGGGAGCTTTAAGAGCAGTTAAAATAACTTAATTTAACTAGTTTGGCAAGAACAAAGCAAAATAAAAGACTTTAACCTTACTTGACTGGGTAACACAAACTGAACATTTTACAAGACAAAACAACACAAAATTTTAACGGGACACAAAGCAAAGGGCTACCAAAGGTAGTAGCCTAAGACAATTACATTTACTGAGCAAAAATTGTAAGCCTAGGCCTACCACAAAACAGTCAGAAGGACCCAAAACTGACTTGGCAGTTTCTCTCAAATAGCGGCTTTCCAACAAACATTTCTCAGTCAATTCTAGGCCTAGCATTTCGGGCAAAGCCCTGAATTATACCAAAACAACAGGGAAAAGGGAAACTAACTATCAAAAGTCTTCCACGACCCCAAGACTAGGTTCCAGACCTAGTGCAACCATGTGCAGCTAACCTAACTTTAGAAAAATGTGCAAAAACTCACCCAAAAGGCGCGCGTGGCGCGATAAATTTACACCATTGCGTAGCAGAACAAAAGTAAAGAACAATTAACAAAACTGCTTTGCAAAAAATAAAGCATAGAAACAGATGTTAAAGGATAAATTTGTTCTGAAAATCCTCTGCGAGGCAAACGGCTCTGACGTCGCTGAACCTATGAGTTGCTGGCGGAAAGAGTAAGAAAAACAAGACTCACAGCCTTGTTCGGGGTCGTGAAAGTGACAACGAAACACTGAACTAGCCTACTATAAAAAAACACTAGAACCATTGATCATGAGTCGTGACATTCGCCCGGTGGAAATAGTCACGGCTCAATAGTTTGGACAGGTTTCAACCCTTCCTAGGCGTAATACATTTACACACATAATAACATAATAACAACAAATTAAAATGTAAATAAAAGCTATGCTGGCAAAAGGCCTCAAAAAATGAGTAAAATATTGGTGAAGTTGTATTTTAAAATTGATTGAAACCAATGTTAACCAAGTTAACAGTTCTTCTTGAAGATATAACAATAGTTAAAAAATGGTGATGGATATTTGGTTGTACAATCCTTAGTTGTGGCTCATCATCAGACTTAATGGGTAAACTGTAACTGTAATCAAACCATTTTAACTGCAATTTAATTAGCAACCTTAAGAATTTTATCAGTTTAAAATTTCTTCAAGACTGACACAGGACTGTAAAGATGTAATTTTTAAACACATTTCAGTGGTGCAATCAAAGTGTGAACAATATAATGGATGATGAAGAGAATAAGAGAAAAGCGTATGTTCTGGACTCTGATGTCAACTTCTGTTTTGAAGACAATGTTTTTTTGGCCATCAAAGCACCCCCTGGAACTCTCTTAGAAGTTCCTGTTGTGGATCATAAAGTGAGTAGCCTTTTATCATTCACAGTTAGTTAGTCTTTCAGGGTCCCAATAGAACACTTAATAATAGTCATCTTATAGTATGGTCCAATGAAAAAAAATCCTTCATCAAATAAAGAACTTTTAATATTTAATTTTTTTAAGGATTTGTTGAATAGGCTTATTGATTTTCCAGAGCTGTATTGGAAATTTATGATTTTCTCTAAATTCTAAGGTTGAGTGGGTATCAAAAGTAGAACCTAACCGAAACCTGGTTTAACCAAAATGGTTCTATAAAATAATATAGGGCTGTAAAATGCTTTAATAACTTAAGTTGTCTGGCTTAGAGTATTTTCTATCAGTAAGTAACATTTTTTTAGCTGAAATAAAACACTGTCTTTAATTCATTTTTCCTACACACTGTGGTAATACATTGGCTATTTTTAGCACATGATGGGTTAACCAAAAAATTTGTTATCCAAAACGGCTCCCCCCCCCCTTTATTTTGGTTAACCGATATTCTACTGTACAATCACTCTGGAGTTTGAAAAAATATTTTTAGATGGTTACAAACTCTTAAGCGGGTGTTTGAATTTGAAATTAACGAAATTAACATTGCTCTTATGGCGGGTAAATCCAAGATGGCCGTTAGCTTCCATGGACTCCCTTGGTTGGAGAACGATTCAAAACTACAATAGTAGTTTTCATTACTAATCTCGAAAGTGACTTATTGTAGAAATCTTTTATCCTGGAAACTTTGATATAATTAGCATTTCTGAATCCTGGCTTAAGCCGGGTATTCATTCAAATGTGTTGTCTCTCCCTGGATATGTGCTGCAGTGAAATGATAAAATTGGTAGACAGGGCGGTGGCGTTGCGGTGTATATACGGGAGGATTTAAAGTTCAAAACTATCTTTTCTTCACCATCGGAGTACTCGGCTGGGCCAGAATGCCTATTAATTGAGATTAGTTTATCTGGAGCAGATGCGCTGTTACTAGGAGTGTGCTACCGCCCACCAAGATCAGGGCATCTGCGCAATCCCACACTCGATCCCACACATCATGTTGCCAATTCTGATACCCTCTTAGATCTAATCGTAGTGTCCAATAATCAAGATATTATTCACCATGGGCAGCTTCCAGTCCCTTCAATATCCAAACATGACCTCATTTTCTGTGTGTACTCAATCTAATCTCCTAAACCCAAAGCAAAGCTTATGAAATATCGGGATTTTAAAAATATTATTGTGGCACAATTCATGTTAGACGTTCAACAAACTCCGTGGCACTTCATTCAAAATTTAAATTCCATCGATGAAATGGTTCAGGAGCCATATTAAATCCATATTCAATCCATATTAAATCCATATTAAATCTCTTTGACAAACATGCTCCCATCCTAACAAAGCGCGTGACAAAACGAAGACCTGTTCCATGGATGACCCCTGAAATCAAAAGTTTGATGGCTAAATAGGTAGAAGAGCTAGGCACTCCAACAATATTGAACTAAAACATCAATATTTTAATCTTCGTAATCGAGTTAAACAGCTTTAGCGAAATTCCAAACTCAGATACATTCATTCACTTTTTGAAAATCAAAAACAGCCATCGAGAGTTTTATGGCGTAAAGCTAAAAGTTTTGGGCTTGGGAAACAATTTGATTCTCAACCAGTACACATCGCTCTAAATGAGTTAAACGTTTACTTTTCTTCTAGCAGTCAAAATACCAATCAGCATAAAGTCAATAGTTACTTGAATGAATTAGTCAACTCTCCAAACCCCGCACCTGGGATATCCCGAGTTTAACTTCAAACCAGTTATTCAGTCTGATGTTTTGATGGCTATTCGCAGAATCTTAAGCAATGCTGTCGGTTCTGGTGGGATACCCATCCGCTTTATCAAAGACATCCTCTACGCAATCCTTCCTACTATCACGTTTATTTTTAATGCATCTTTGAGGCACTGTTCTTTCCCTTCATTTTGGAAGTCTGCCATTGTCCGTCCCCTAAAAAATATCACTGAAAATAACATTCTATCTGACTATCAATCTGGTTTCAGATCAGCGCACAGTACAGAAACAGCACTCCTTCGAGTGACTGAAGACATTAGACTTGCTATGGAGCGTCGACAAGGAACGATTCTAACTCTGTTTGATTTTTCCAAAGCATTTGACTGTGTTAATCATGACTTGCTGGTGCAGAAATTAAGGGCAATAGGGTTTTCCAAGAATTCTCTTAAATGGCTGAGATCTTATCTGTCAGATAGGCAGGTTAGTGACACAAGATCAGACTGGATGACTGTTACATGCGGTGTGCCCCAAGGATCAATCCTTGGACCACTGCTCTTTGTACTGTACATCAACGACATAAACTCGACCTTGACCAACTGTAAACACCACATGTACGCTGACGACTTGCAAATTTATGTTTGTATACCGTCTATGTTTGTAAAATCCATTTTACTGCAAACAACGAAAATGACTGTGTCAGAAGGATCAATGAAGATGTGAACCGAATAGTTACTTGGACTGAGAATCATGGACTGAGACTAAATCAAGAAAAGACAAAACCAATTGTAATCTGCCACCCTCGACTTCGCCCTTCAATTGACTTAGACTCAATAAACCCAATCACGGTGAGTGGCAAAGCACTTCCCTTGGCATATCTTTCAACTCTTCACTTACTTGGGACACAGCAGTTAGGGACACACAAAAAAAGGTTTTTGCCTCCATACATTCACTGAAAAGATTGCAGAACTTTTTGCCACAACACAAAACTTCATTTGATCAAATCACTTGTACTGCCCCACTTCAGTTACTGCAACTCAGTGATCAATGACATGACTGTGATTCAGGCGGGTATGCTCTAACGGTCTCAGAATTACGCTTTGAGATTTGTCTATGGTCTGCGGCGTGAGGAGCATATCACGCCATACTACCTTGAGGCAAACATCTTGAAATTAAATTATCAAAGATCCATCAAAATTATGTCATTGGTCTTTTTAATTTTGAAATCAGGCTCCCCAAAATATTTTACATCAGATTTTAAATTTGTGTCTCAAGGTAGTTCACGAATTTCTCGTTCTTCTTCAATCACATTGTGTATTCCTCATCATGTGACCACCGCTTATGACAGGACTCTTGTTGTTACCTCTTGCCGTCTTTGGAACACCCTACCCCTACACATTAAATCCCTTGATAAACAAGTAAGATAGAAACAATATATAAGAGTTAAAAAAGTTTAAACTTGAGCTTGTCTGTTCATGTTTTCTCCTCTTGGTCGTGTTGGCCAAAGAACGTTTTAATCACACAGTGAAGTATATACAAACACTCACACAACATATTTATCAGTAATAGCACGCCAATTTATCAAATAAAGTTAAACCGACCAATTTTACCAATATTTAACGCCAACAACAAGACAACATAACCTCAAGACTGGTGTTTGTTGACAGACGAGGGACGAAAACTAGGCCGGCTTAACAGGTAAATATCTGATCAGCTGTTGTCTAGTAGTACATAAGTTCGTTGCTAGAGCGCGTAAGCCTCGACCGGACTGGAATGAGGGATTTTCCATCAAGACAGAATTATTCCTTCGTACTTTGTCGTCGAAGTAACCTTGTTGTTACCTACGCACGCTTACACGATCGTTGATAGTTCGTTTACCGAAGGTTAGCCATATTAGTTAATTACCACGATTTATGTTTAATTTTCGTTTAACACTCGCATTCCCTTTTCCAAATTTGATTTTAAATCTTAAATTTAATAGCTTAGAATTTGCAGGCCCACTTTTATAAACGGGCAGACAGGGTAAATGCCCAGGGGCGCCGAAGGTTTGGGCGCCTCAACCACTGCCCGCACAAGGCAAAAATGGGGGCACTGCTTTTGGTTTTGCCCAGGGCTCCACTGACCCTTAACGCGGCCCTGAGAATTTGCCGACTTACTTCATACCTGCCAGTGACTAGCGGTGGCCGTAAGTTGGCTTGGTTTAATTTAATTGGTTCGAAATTACAACAGTCCCCGTTTGTTTATTAACTTTATCTTTTTGTTTCATCATTTAAATTGATTTGAGTTATTTCGTCGTTTTAATACCCCGAGACTCGTCGTCTGAGTTCTGAACCCCATCATTGGCGGGTGATAGAACCAAGTCTTGGGAGAGTTTAATTTGAACAGTGAATTACAAGTATTGTTATTGAATTTATTTTATCCGTATCAAGCTAAATCCAGGGCCGGATTTCCCAATAGGCCCGGTAGGCCCGGGCCTATGGGCGCAAGCTCCCAGAGGGCGCACGGCCGAGAGGAAAAATATTTTTTTAATATCTAAAAGTAAAATAAATAGCCATAGCTTAACATATTTTGTGAGTTGATAAAAAAAACTCTTGCCAATAAAGCATTATAATTTTTAAATTCATTAAAAGAAATAACCGTTAAAAAATATAAACAGTTTTTCAACATTATGCATCAATTTTGTTACAACATTGATAACGAACATTGGTTATATGGGAGTAGGCTGTAGGGATGTTGTCGAGCGCCCGAGCGGTACGCATCCCGCATCGTATTGCCATTGCCAGTTGCCACTGTACTCTTTGCACTGCCACTATGCTGGCTCGGTGCCACTGATCTGAGTGATTAGGGGCGTATGCGTGTTAGAAACCGTTACCACCCTTACTTAACAAAAAGAAAATGTATTAACTAATCTTTTGATCAGTTTACAGCAATCTGCACTGCAGGGTCAAAAAATATATAATACGTTTTGAATATTAAAAATACGATAAGTTTATCTTTAAAATTCAATAACGAAAAAATATCTGAGTTTGCAACAGGTTTTAGAAAAATTTAATCCCCTCCAAAGCACCATTTGATGTCATTTCCTCCTCAGCTCAGACCTGAGGATAATTATGGTTGGCCGGACTATTGCTTTGAAAATATAATCAGAATGCAGTACCACCATAGATTAACCATAAACTCAAGTCGACTTGTTATCATATTGTCAATCCTAAATATAGTTTTTCATGTCCAGTTCAT